GAGTTGTATAATTGTTTGTTTTGCAAAATTTGTCTTTGTTTCTCCCTGTCTAATAACATTTCTTCCAAAAATTAAGGATTTTCGATGACAATGATTGGTTCTTATGTTTGTTTCTCATAATACTTTGCTAATCAGTCACTATTGTAATACTTTTGTAAAACTTTTCCTTCTAATATTCGAAGTTTATAAGCACCATTATTCATCTTAGCTTGAATAATGAAGGGTCCTTCTCTTTTGTCTTCAAATTTAGCTGATCTTGACTTTTTTATAGCCTTTAGTTGTATTCAAACTTTCTCATCAATTTCGAATTCTTCTGGTCTAATTCTAGCATTAAAATATTCTTTCTGTTTCTGTTGTGACTTCTTGGTATTTATTCAAGCTTCTTCTTGTGTTGCAGCTATTCTTTCCATTAGTTCATAAGCACATTATAATACACTATCCTGAATGTCAATTTCTATATTAAGATCTGGTATAGATTCAGTAAAGATAATAGTTTCGATTGGTAGAGTAGCTTGTCTATCATATATTAGTTGAAAAGGCATATAACTAGTGGTAGATGTCTCTTGGTTTGATATGCTAAGAGAATAGCAGGTATATGTATATTCCATTTATCAGTTCCTTTAACCTTCGTGAATGATTCGCACAGTGTTCTGTTAAGACATTCAACTATTCCATTAGTCTGTGGGTGGTATGGCGAAGAGAACTTGTGTTTGATAAAGAACTTTTCACATAGTATTCAGATAGTTTCACTAATGAAGTTTCTTCCTTGGTCAGATAAAATTATCTTGGAAATTCCATGTCTACAGATAATTTCTTCGAAGATAAACTTTGCTAAAGTTTCTGCTCCGGCATCTGGTATAGCTCGAGCTTTTGGCCATTAGGTTAAATAGTCTGTTGCTACAATAATTTAGCGATTATTCTGTTCAGTTATCGGTAGGGGTCCAACTAAGTTAATACCAATTCGTTCGAAAGCTCATCTGACTTGTATCGGGTGTAAAGGTTCTTTTCTTCTGCCTTTTTGTCTTTTTTGACATTCTTCATATATCTGTATATATTTTTTAATGTCTCGATATATTTGGTCCTAATAGTATCATTCAGCTATTTTGTAATATATTATGTCTGTTCCTAAATGTCTAGTGGTAGAATGTTTATGCATCATATAGAAAATGTGTTCTACTTCTGTCTATTTGATAACTTATAAAGGTTTGTCTGGATTCTTTCTATTCTTCTTATAGAGTAAGTGGTGTCTAATTTCGAAATATCAAGCCTGGTTAATTAATTGCTTCTTTTGATTCTTAGTAAAGTCTTCTAGAATAGTGTCTGTATCTAGATATTGGTATAACTCATAATTAAAGTTGCAGACATTTCTCAAAGTAGTTACTGTCTACGGCACTATGTCTATGACATATAAGCTGTACTATCTTTTGATTATATTGATGTAGTATTGTATAAAGTAGAGAAGTAGTGTGACGTAGTGACGTAAGCGATGTAGTTGACGTATATGACATAGTTAACGTATATAACATAGTTAACGTTATGATATAGATGACGTAATGATATATATGATATAGAAATATAGCTGACATTGGTAATGCAGATGACGTACGTACGTAGTGGCATAAACAGATGGCCAATCTAACCTTGCTTACATTCTTTTTTAAATTAACAAGAATTCTTATTTACATTAAACTTAATAGTCTGGTATGTAAGTATATATCGATATGGTTATATTATTTGCCTTTGAATTAACAGGAATTTAAAGTTTCGAGACACCTTAGATAAATATATTTGGCCAACAATTTTATTTGGTAATTAACTAATAGAAATGATTTTAAACTATTATAGCTTAAAATTTGTATATGTTGTGTCTCAGATGCATCCTTGCGTCAGATGACACCTGGCCTGAGTTAGGATTAAGGTTAGAATAAAAATCACAAAGTAATTTAGACCAATTCTTGCAGATCATTTAATGCTGGTCATCTGGTAGTCATCTGACATGTGTCAGCTGCAATCTGATGCAAGAATTAATCTGACGCACAACATATACATATAATTAGCATAACCCTAGAACTATAGCTCTGTTTAATAAACCTATCAAGAAAAACATTTGAGAATATCTTTAATGATAAATAAAAAAATTAATCTAAAATATAGATAGAACTTTAAGTATTACAATGAGTGTTTACTATAACATTGGTTTTCTAATACTAAATATGCTATACAGAGGTTAATTACTGTTTAAAGCCTTCGTGCATTAGATATATGATTAATCATCATTTTTTGTTTATATAAGAAGTCTCTAAAAAATAATATACATTAATATTTTATAATAATATAGCAATAGATAATAAATAACATTGTACTAACCATATTAAATATAAGAAAATAGAGCGCAATAATATTCATTCAGTTGTTATGAGTAGTTTAACCTACTTCAGTATTTTGAAAGATTATGATTTTGTACAATTAATATATTTAATTATGCAATAGTTATAGATAGTAAGCTTTAGCAGTAATTCAAGATTTATTATTAATTGTATCTACAAGCTATTATCTTGCCTTTCACATTCTAAAAAACTATTCAGTACATCGAATGGATCATAATCTAAATTAAAGGAAGAAATAGCTTGAGCTGTTTCCATACTAGAAGATTCTAAACCTTCTTCAATTCTCAAATTAACAATTTTCTCAATTAATAGTGATGTAGAATTATTAGATATAATGTTATCATTATCCGTTTTACTAACTTCTAATTGATTATCTTCATAACTCATAATACTGCTGATTGAAGATAAATTGCATGCATCTCAAAGATCAGTTTCAGTCAACTCCTTATCAAGACAACTTATTTCACATCGAATATTAGTCATATGATATGACCTAATTTTAGCAATTCTCTCTAATCTATTTAAATCTAAGTGTGTTCAGCATTCTCCTAAAATTTATTTTAATACTGAAAATTTTCTTTCGCAATTAGCTTGCATAAGGCTAATTGAAAAAATTCTAAGTGCTAGTTCTGCCAAATGCTAAGGTTAGTTCTTAAATGATCTTCACCAAATTTTTGGGGTGTTTATATTCGGAACATAAAGAAGGTCAAATGGTAGTAAATTTGCCTCAAACTGACGCATTTGTGTGACCAATTTATCGCTTTCTGACTTAGCATATCCAAGATTTTACCAGATTTCAATTGAAGTAAGAGCAGCTTAATGAAACTCATTATCCTTTAAGCCTTTCCCTAATAAATTGAAATTATATAAAAATTAAATTTTTACTAAATTTAAACTAATAATAAAATTTATTTTTTCAAACTTACCTCTATATTGTGGGTGTATATAATATGCAAGAATATAAAGAGGATGTAAAAATTCTTCATAGAATTGATTGAAAATATAAATTGCTGAAATTTTAAAAGTATTTGCTTCGGGTAAATGTGTGATTGCTACAGCTAGCTTAATTAGATAAACGAAACAATCGGCCAGTATTGCATTATTGGCTTCGAGCATGTGAATAACTTCTTTAATAGGTTGCCATATTGAATGTATTAATCGACATGTAGAAAAAAAATTTTCATCGGCTATTAAATTTCCAATTTCTTGATTAGTAATCAAATTTCTATATTCAGAAAGTATCTAACAATAAAAAAAAAATTTTTTTTATTAAAATAATATACAATTTATACATATATCATTATAAAAACTTTATTAATTTATATTTTACCCAGTCAAAAACAGGTCGTGCATGAAGCATTGAATCAGTAGTTAAGTATAGAGATCCCCACTGAGTTTTTACCCATGGTTTTAGCCTGCCACCCTTAATTTTCATATCTGCAAATCCTCTAGTAAGTAATGAATAAACTAAATGTGAACTTTTAAAAAAATTATTAATTTTCTCACAATTATTAATTAAAATTTTTATGTTATTCAATTTAACTAAATCAGTGGTAATAAGATTTATTACTTGAGCTTCACAGTGAATATTCCAGATATGTGGATATATTGCTTGAACTTTTTGCTGTGCCATTCTGCAATTTGAGGCTGCATCCATTACTACTGCTGCAAATTTATTAGAGCCAAGCTTGTCAATGACATCTAATATCTCATTTGCTAAAAATTCATCTGTGTGTGATTGCGCAAAATAATTCTTTAAACTGATTAGATATTCTTTTCAGGTATTTGTTGTAATGATATAATTATAAACTGAATTCATTTTTGGTGTTGTTTATCTGTCCAATGCTTTATTTATTATACATATAAATAAATAAATAAATAAATTTTTAGATTTAATAAATTAATTATACTATATATAATATACTAGATATATATATATATATAGATTACCTAATGTTAAATAATCAGCTTTATCTAAATCATTATCAATTCCTCTATTTACTCATGCTAATTCTTTATCCAATAATCGATTTGATAAAGTTAATCTTGATAGTAGATTATATGCAGGTTGAAGTGCTTTAAACATATCTTGAATAAACAGGTTTTTAATAACATCAAAGGAGATTCTCGCCATTACCCAACCTTTAAGTATTTTTTGATCAAGTTGATCAACAACAGCTTTTGGCAATGAACGGTCAGATATAAAATGAGATGTCATTGTAGTTTGTAAAATAGGATTTGGTAAAACAGAATTTTTGAATCTTCGAGTATAATTTGAAGTTTTCTCTACTAATTTTTCTCTCCAATATTGTGATATATCATTTGGACAACTATTACATTCATTTGCTAAATGTGCTTCTAATTTTGCCAGCTTTTCTCTTGACCAAGATGTATTACAATAATAACAGATAGCTTCATAATGTCCATTACTCTTTTGTGCCCCTCTATTAAAATAGTCCTATACTTCATGAAATTGTTTGGTTTTTTTTTATTTTTATTTGTTGAAGACTGAATTAGAAGTGTCTGTTAAAGACTGTGAATTAAAAGTGTCTGTTAAAGACCGTGAATTAGTTGAAGGCTGTGAACTAGAAGTATTTGTTATACTAGGTTCTTCTTCTGATTCAGAACTAGTTTCATTAAAAAGTTGCCCTCTCTTTTTTCACAAAGCTTTATCTACTTCCATAATAGAAGAAATACAGTTTAGAATATACGTGCAGGTGAAGCAGAGTAAAAAACTTGAAATAGAATTTTAAAAAACCTGACACCCCTAACTTGTATAACTATAATGACTAAAATAATATATGTTATTGTGCAAACTCTTATAATCATAGATTTTTTTCTTTTTGTTATTTTTTGTACGTTATTACATAAGCAAAACAATCCTGAATTAAAACTCAGTTAGCCAACCATAACTCGTAAATCATAATCATAATTGCATGCGATGATAAATATCACAAAATTTGTTCTGTCGAAGCAAATGATTAGATGAAACATGCCGCTACATAGCACATATCAGCCAATCATTTGCTCTGACAAAACAAACTTCATGATATTAATTATTGCATGATCAATATCTTATACTTAAGAAGTAATTTTTGTAATACGTACTCAATTGATTAAAAAATTTTATTTCAAGTTTTTACTTGATATTGAGTCTAGACTCAAACCCCAACTAAACAATGTTGAATTAATAAATAATACTAACCAAATTAGAAATAAAACAGGTTATAGTAGAATTCTTGTGTTAAAAGTTTAAATTTTAACATGCCCAAATATGATATAAATCAAAATGAATAAAATGATTGTAAAATAGTTACGTTAAGTTTAAATAATAATTAAAATATCAGTAAGATAATACTAATTGAACTAAATAATTGATAGTTATAAATTATATTTACTTACTATATAACTTGGTATATATAATTGAAATGGTCCAAAAACTAAAAGGTAATTTCTTATAATTCAAATTGCAAAAATCAAATAATATAAATAACAAGTAGGCACTCAAACAGAACGTATTTTAAATAATACTCTGCTAAATAAATTGATTTGGATACATAGTATGATTTGGGTAATAATTAGTGTTATAAAACAGTTTTATTTTATTGGTTTATTATTTTATCTTAGTATTATTATTATTTTTTTTTTTTTTTACAACTAGCCTCTTGGGGACTAGAGTTTTTATTCAAGTATTAAGTCAAGGGCTTGCGGCCGAAACC